GCCGCTGCCGCCTGCGCCCCGGCCACTACCTGGTGGTGCCCAGCGCCGCCCGCGCCGGCGACGAGGCCGACTTCACGCTGCGCGTCTTCTCGGAGCGCCGCCACACAGTCGTGTGAGCCGGGGGCCCCCGCGCCCACCCCTCGGGGTCCCCCCGGCCGGCCAGAGCCCCGGGCCCCACCCCCGACTCCCCCGCTTCCCTTGTGTCCTTGGCAGGGAGATCGATGACGTCATCAGCGCCGACCTGCACGCCCTCATGGTGCGAGGCCTCTGGAGGGGGGCGGGGCGCAGCGGGGTTGGGGTCCTCTGGGCCGGCACTGAGCTCCCCCCGCCCCACAGGTCCCCTACATTCCCCTGGAGCGGGGGTTGGAGCAGCTGTTTCAGGAGCTGGCAGGAGAGGTGAGGGGGCCCTCCCCTCCCCTCCCCTCCCCTCCCCTCCCCTCCCCCAGGACCCCTTCCTCATCCTGGGGGTCTCATTTTGCTTTAATTTCTCCCTATGCTTCAAACTCCTGACTCTCTACTCTCAAAATGCTCACAGCTCATCCCTGCCTCAGGGCCTTTGCCCTGTCTGTACTTCTGCCTGGACCGCCTTCTCTCCCTTCTCCGCCCCCCCCCCCCGTCCTGGCTAAGATCCTGTCTTTCTCCTCTGCCCTCCGCTGGAAGCCCTCCGGGATTCTCCCCCAGGCTGGTCAGCTGCATGCCGGCTGTGGCCTCCCACAGCCCAGAGCTTACCCCCCCCACTCCCAAGCCCTGTCGGCTCTGGGGACAGGTCTCTCTCTCCCCCTGGACCATGAGCTCTCGGTCTCTGCTCTGACCCCGGCACCGCCCAGCATGCTGCTGGGGCCAGCCCCGAGCTGTGTTGAATGGCTGCCTGAGTGAACGGCCTCACACTGGCTCTCTCCTTGACCAGGAGGAAGCACTCAGTGCCTCTCAGCTCCAGACCTTATTAAGCATTGCCCTGGAGCCTGGTGAGTTGGAGACTGGGGTGGACCCCACAGAGCCCCCTAGGTGTGTTAGTCCATGATGCTGCCAGGAGTCAGGCCACGGGAGCCCTGGACTCAGCCTGACCGTGTCTTCCCACCTGTGGGTCCTGTGGCAGGACTCGTGGCCAAGGCCACGGCCACCCATAAGGCCCCCCACCTTCCCCTAAGGGAGGCAGGGAGTGTAGCGGCCCTGAGGGGACTTTGGAACCCCCCTGCCTGGGTTCAGATCCCTGCTCTGCTAGTTACCAGCAGTCCCGTGGCTCCCTGTGCCTCAGTTCCTGCAGTGGGGATAGCCGGACTCCCTAGTACGCAGGAAGTACTAGGGGTTTTTTTGTTTCCTGTAGCCAGGGCCCATGCCCGGACCCCTGGAGAGATCGGGCTCAGGACCTGTGAGCAGCTGCTGCGCTGTTTTGGGGTATGTGAGGGGAGCAGTGCCTGGGTAGGGAGGGTGGGGATGTTGGGGCCTCTGGCCCCCTTCTGGGGATATGGATTTTAACCAGATGCCCCATCCCCAGAACGGACAGAGCTTCACCCTGCACCACTTCCAGCAGCTCTGGGGCCATCTCCTGGAGTGGCAGGTAAGGTTGGGGGTTTGGTGGGGCCACCTCCTCCCGGAGGGTGAGGCACTTTTACTGATCAGGACAGAGGTGCTCTGCGGGCTAGCAGGGCCCCAGGGGAGGAGAACGTGAGCCACATCATACCTTGGAGGGACAACTGGAGGGATCTGGCTGGGATGTCCTTGCCCCATCTGGCTCCCTGTGGTCCCTCTAGGGGCACTAAATAGCTCAGGGATGGAAAGCACAGGTTCTGGTCCTGGCTTGAAGTCCCAGCTCCCGGTTCAGCCCCTTTCTAGCTGTGTGACCTCGGGCAAGTCACCTCCCCTCTGAGGGGCCTCTGCTAGTGGGAGGCATTAATTCCCACTGCTCTGGATCCCTGGGAGGAGGCAATGGTCCAAGGCCTCCCTGTACTTGCTATTGGCTGAGCCCTCCCGAAGGCCCTTGTGGGTAGCATATTGGCTTGTCCTCATAACCCTATTCTAGCTGTTACTGTTATTCCCATTTTACAGAGCGAGCGAGGTAAAGCTATTGCCCAGGGCACCAAGTCATGAAGAAAGGGAGCAGGGGTGGAAACCCAGGCTGACTGGCCCTCTTCAGGGTGCATGGGGGACCCCAGGGGGAGGGTAGGACTGACCTCTACCTCCTGGCCCAGGCCACATTCGACAAGTTTGACGAGGATGCCTCTGGAACCATGAACTCCTACGAGCTGAGGCTGGCGCTGAATGCGGCAGGTATGTTGGGGAGTGGTCCCAGGGACGGGATCTGCTCCCCCTGCTACCCTCTGAACTCTCGCAGGCCTGGCTGGCTGCTCACCTGCTGCCCTCCACAAAGCCCACACCGTAGTTTGTTACTGGATACCCTTGGGAGAGGGAGCGGGGCCTCCTGGAGGGGGAAGATGGGGAGAGCCTGGGAGCTGGTATCTGAGAGGTCCCGGCCCCCCGGGCACTGTGGTAAAGTGGCCTGGGTTCCCATGAGCTTGGGTTAGAATCCTGCCTCTACTGACTTACTCCCTGGGGGATCCTGGGCAGGTGAGTCCACCTCCGTGAGCCTCAGTGTAAAATGGCTACCACCCAGGGTGGCTGGGAGGAGCCTTCGGAATGCAGCCCATGGGGCTCAGCGCTGGGGGGCACGCAGCTTCTGGTGACTGCATGCGGAGGGCCCGGGCAAAGGTTTCGGAAACCTGGGTTCTTCCAGAAAGAGGTAGAACAGCCCCACCCATCTGTGTAGCACAAAATCCTACCCAGGAGACAGAGCCAGGGAGCAAAGCTTTTCCTGGGCCCTGACCGAAGCAAGTGAAGTAAGTTCATGCACCGAGGGGCTGGGACCGGAGGGGGCTCCCAGATCCCCCACCCCCACCCCAGGGCTCCTCTGCCCCAGCCAAGCCGAGGGGGGGAGCGGGGGGGGGGAGGACAAAGAGGTGGGAGGGTGCGCCAGGCCGTGACCCAGTTTGAGAGGCAGGGAGGCCCTGAGGGAGGACCTCCAGCATCCAGAGACATGCAAGCAAAGAGGCCAAGCCAGAGGGGGAGAGATGGAGTCAGAGTGTTGGGAGGTGTGGCACGGGGACAGAAGTGGAGTCCCAGGTGGACAGAAGCAGAGGTGAGAGCGCGAGGGCGGATGGAATGTTGGCACCACTTGTCAGGGTTCCTGGGCACCTGGTGCACGTTCTTGGCGTTATTCTAGTCACAAGACTGAGGAAGTGCTCTTGGGCGGGGCTTGTCGCACTGGTGGTGCAGACAGACAAGTAGAACATCTGGGTCAGATGTCAGCTGGTGACACGCTATGGCGGGAAGAGGAAGCTGGTGTGTACATGGTGGGGGGGAATGTGTGGCTGGAGGCACAGCGGTCAGGGTAGGATCCAGGTGCCGTTTGAGCAGACCTGAAGGAAGGGGACTGAGCCTTGGGGGGACAGTGGCAGGTGCAGTCTAGACAGAAGAAACAGCCAGTGCAAAGGCCCTGAGGTGAGATGCAGCATGGGCCCTGCTGGAACAGCTTCAAGGGGCCAGTGCGGCTAGAGGACGGGGGTGGGGGTGGGGGTCAGAGATGAAAGATCCGTGGAGGGAGGCAGTAAAGCCCCATGAGGTCCAGCGTCAGGGTGCGTGGGGAGGCTGGAGCCGACAGCACGGGAGGTCACGCTGTGTACTGAGGGAGTACCGGGGAGCGGAGAGGCAGGAAGCAGGCTCCAGAGGGCCCTGGCAAGGGTGGGCAGATCAGGGTGGGGGAATCGGCAAGAAAAATGACCTGCTGCCACTCAGCCGCGCTCTGAGGCACCCACGTTCCCCAAACACCAGCTCTGCTCCTGGCTGTGCCGGCTGATGCTGGGGACTCAGCAGTGGTCAGAAATCCTTCCCTCCCCTCCCCTCCCACGGCTTCCGGGCCAGGGTCCGCCAGAGCCACCAAAGACAGTGACAGCTCCGAGGGGTCAGGGTGGGGACGGGGTAGGCACAGGGAGACATAGGAGGCGCTCCGGGCTGCAGGGGGTAAGAGCAGGGGGCTCGGAGAGGGCTTCCTGAAGGGGGCAGGGCGAAAGGAGTAGGAGAGTTCTGGGCTGAAGGAACATCACGTGCAAGGGAGGCAAGACAGAGCACAAGGTCCAAGTGCCGGAGGGGGAGGAGGAGGTAGACCTCTGCGCAGGCCACCAGGCAGCTAAGGACAGTGGGGGGCCCTGGGCAGGGGTAGCCAGGAACCAGGACCTAGTAAACCAGGTGAGGGATTTCCCGAATACCCAGGGGATCCCGGGCAGGACCCCGCAGCAGGGGGCGCAGAGTGGTCAGAGGAAGCTGAATTTGAGGGGGCAGCTGAGGGCTTCCTGCCCCTCCTCTGGCCAGGGTCCCCTGGCACAGACTCGACAAAGATCAGAACCGGGGCACAGACGGGTTTCAGGAGGCGGCGGAAGCCCATGACATTGTCCGCAGAAGTTTATCTGGACACGTGGGGGAGGAGGAGCCAGGCTGCAACCTTAAGTCTCGGAGGATTACTGGACCTCGAAGGAGGAGCCGTTGTTTTTGGCTTTTGAAAGCCTATTGCGATTTCTCGTCAGAGGTGATTTCTAATGTTTAAAAATCGTCTCTGATGTGAAGAAACGGACTCCATGTGGGACTGACAAAAACGTCTGGCTGCACAGAAATTCCTCCAGTGTCCATTCGCAGAAACTGGCCAGAATTTAAAGTCCTAATAAAGCAGCCATATATGCCGTTCTAAGTTCTCTAACAGCTTCCCCCAACATTGTGGGGTCAGGGCTGTCACGTGAGAAAAGGAGCACAGAGGCGTGAAGGGAGCTGCCCCGGGCCCCACAGCTGGGGTCCGAGCGGTGGGAACAGCACCCGCCCCCGGGGAGCCGGGCTGGGGCTCACGGGCACCCTGCCCTAGGCTTCCACCTGAACAACCAGCTGACCCAGGCCCTCACGAGCCGCTACCGGGACAGCAGTCTGCGGGTGGACTTCGAGCGCTTCGTGTCCTGTGCAGCCCAGCTCACCTTCATATTCCGTGAGTGATGCCCTGGCACGGGGACCCCGGGGTGGGGGTGGGGGTGGTCTCCCTCCCACGAGCCACACGGGGTGCTCAACCCGCCCGCTCTGTGCAGGCCACTGCAGCCAGCACCTGGAAGGAGGCGAGGGGGTCGTCTGCCTGACCCGCAGACAGGTGAGCCCGGGCTGGGGGTTGGGGGACAGCTCAGGTGGCCAAGCAGGGGTCCCAGGAGACCCCTGCCTCAAGCCGGCCGTCTTCTCTCCCCCAGTGGATGGAGATGGCCACCTTCCTCTAGGATCTCTGCATGGAGCACCTGTGGCCAGAGGCAGAAGCATGCCAGGAGGCCTTTCTCCTCTCCCAGCCGGGACTGGGGTTTATTCCACAGGGAGGGGGGGGTCTGAGCACCAGCGCCCCCTCCGCCTCTCTGCCTGGCACGTGGGGCGCTGTCTGGTCCCAGCACTCAGCAGCGGGGTGAGGCCAGGCAGGTCCCTGCACACCTCCGTGCTTTGCCCTCCTCATGTATAAGCAGGGACGGGCACGACACTGTTCTTGTGCAGGCCCCACGTGTCAGCACTGGGGACAGTGCTGGGCCTCGAGCCGGTCCCCAGCGGCACTCATGTTTACACACTCATGGGGACAGGGGTCTCCCACGCCCAGCCTTGCTCTGGGAAGAGGTGCTCCCGTGGCTCTCCTAAGAGGCGGAGAACAGACAGGAGAGAGAGAGAGAGAGAGAGAACACGGTAGGAATCCTTCTTAAAAATATTACATGTTTTATTATCCTGTCCCCAGAAGGTGGTTTATCCAGAAACCGAGAAAAAAAAATAGAATAAACTCAAAAAAGGGGGGGAGAGGAAGGGAGCAAAACCCATCAACTAACAGGCAGCCAGGCCAGCAGCCCACCCTCCACCTCAGGAGGGTCCCCAGAGACCCATGCCCAACGACAGACAACAGAGAAAAATCAGTAAGGGGCTGGGGGGAGGGCAGCAAATCAGCTAGGTCTTCATTATGAGAGCAAGAGGCAGGGAGCATATGTTGCTAGGTGAATATATATTTATATAATAAATCCGTAAGTTAATAAAGTAAATAGTAATTCTCTGAAGGTTTTGAATTCTTTTATAGGGTTTTTTTTTTTGTGGATTTTTTTTGTTTTTGTTTTGTGTTTTTTTTTGTTTTTGTTTTTTTTGGTCCTTAGAAAATCTGAGAGATACACATGTCTGGGTAAAGCAAGATGGGGGGCTGGCTGGGGATGAGAGGCTGGTCTGCCCAATCCTACTCCTCTGTTGCAGAAAAGGGGGGTGCTGAGTTGCACCCCCTCATCTCCTGGCAGTCGCAAGTGGGGGGAGAGGGAAGAAGGGAGGGGGCGGGGTCCTCTTTCCTGTCGGGCAGCTGTGTCGCCCTCTGCTGGGCCCAGGGCAGGCCCAGGCGGTTCCTGGACAAGGCACATAGGGCTTTGGCCTGGATGTGGGAGGCCTTGAAGGGACCTCGTGGGGGGTGGGGGAGGGGGGCGGGCAAAGGAGGGATGAGGTGGGGAGGGCATTCCTAGGACCTGGAGGTGACCTGTTTTGCTGTGGGAAGCCACTGTCCCCTCCGTATAGTTAAAAAACAAAACAACACATCATACATATTTACCAGACCAGAAGCGCTGACCCCGAGTGTCTCCCTCACCCCTATCCAGGGGGAGGGGGCCGACTGACGAAGAGAGAGGAGAGAGCCTGCCCCAGCCCCTCCCTGCCCACCCCACCCCCCAGAACAGACTGACAGAGGGCTTTGCATAGATACAGTCAGAGGAACAGGACCTGGGAGGCCCCCGCAGCGGGGAGAAGGGCAGAGGGCTCCCCCAGCCCCGCCTGGAGGCTGTGAGGAGGGGGCGTGCGGTCAGGCTTTCTCCGGGGGCGGGGAGGGGCCTCACAGGTCACTCTCGCCGTACAGGGCTGTCGAGAAGGACTTGTAGTCGAGGGCGCCGGGCACGGCGTCAGGGCCCTGGTAGGGCGCCATGCGAGCGATGCAGTACTCGGCCTGGTCCGGGGGCAGCTCTCTCCGCAGCTCCTCGGCCGTGATGAAGTTCTGGGGGGCAGCAGGGTGGGACTCTGGGCCACCCCCACCCCCACCCGCCCAGTCCTGGCTGCAAGGGCTCCTCCATGTCGCCCCACCCCGGGATGCCTCTGAGGTACCCTGCTTACCTTGTCCCCTGCCAGGACCTTGAAGGAGGCGATGACCTGGTCGGCCGTGTCTGTGTCGGTGGTCTCCCTTGACATGAAGTCAATGAAGGCTTGGAAGGTCACGAGACCGCTGTGGTTGGGGTCAACCACGCTCATGATGCGGTTGAACTCGGCATCACCCTGTGGGGGGGGGGATAGGCGGCATTTGAGCAGGGCAGGGTGGCCAGCCGGGCCTGGCCCGCGGAACGGAGCCAGGAGAGCGGGGCCCGGCCCCGGGGGAGCACACGCCTGCAGGGGTTTTGGCTTCCCCAGGCCAAGGGCCCCACTTGCCCTGATTGGGGATGTGCTCCCTCTGCTCCTCCCCGCCCCCGTTTCTGGGAAGTGGGGAGCTGGGGAATGGATCAGGCAGGTCTACCGTTCCTCAGCCCTAGGCTCACGACTTAGCTCTGGAGGGTGGGGAAGAAAGAAAGAGAGAAAGAGAAAGAGAAAGGGTAGGGAGCCAGAGGCCTGACCTCCTCTCTCGGGAGACTTCCAGGAAAGGAGGTGGGTGGCAGGGGGGTCATCGGAGAGACCCCTGCCCAGCAGAAGCAGCGCAGATGGAGGAGGAGGGGGCACGGCTGCGCTGCTCTGCTGGGGGAGTAGCCCCGAGGAGGCGGGTGAGGAGGAGGGGGGAGGCTGCGCGGGGGCGGCGGGGGGGGGGAAGGAGAGGCCCAGCAGCGAGGGGGAGGCAGAGGCTGCATACCAGGCTGTATCCTGTGGAGATAAGCAGAGCCCTGAAGTCATCCGAGTCCATGCTGCCTGTCTGCTTCTGCTCGAGGACGCAGGGACAGCAGAGGAGACCAGGCCCAGAGAAGGCAAGAGGGGCCGCCCCATGTGCACAGCAGGGAGACAGGACAGTGGCGGGAGCCGGGGAGACAGAGGCGGCCCCGGGAGACCAGGTAAGGGGGAAGGTGTCCAGAGAGACACAGGGCAGGGAGGAGGCAAGAGAGCCAGTGAAATGGCACACACATGGCAAGGGGTGGGATGGCGAGAGGGAGGGGGACAGAGAGAAGGAGAGAGAGAAAGAAGAGCAGTTAATGCCACAGTCCGCTGGGGCCCAGGGGGGCGCATACCTGCCGGTCATTCTCCACGTCGTAGCCCAGGCTGATGAGGCAGGCCTTGAACTCCTCCGGCCCCAGCGCCCCGCCGTGGTCCTGCCGGGCGTCCGAAGGCAGGTGTGTGCGAGGGGCAGCGCGGAGACCAGGCCGGCGCGGAGACGTGGGGAGAGGGGCCGGGGTCACATGCAGAGGGCAGGGGGTGGGGAACACATCGGGGGGGAAACAGAGTTAGAGGTGACACAGACAAGGTGACGGCTAGGGACGGTGAGCAGGGCAAGGGGCATGGCGGCCTGGAGGGTGGTCAGAGGCCTGCCCAACGCCTCGGCCAGAGCAGGGCAGGCATCTCTCCTCGCCTCCAGGATTTGGGGTGAGAGAAGGTTACACTCCGTCCTATCTGGGACAGCAGGGTCCCTGCCTGACGGCGTGGAGCTGAGCGTGCACCCTCCCACCCACAGAGGGCAGGCAGATGGCGCGCCAGGCCCAGCAGGGCGGGTGGGGACCGCAGCAAACTCAGGCGCTCAGGGCCTTCCTAAGGGGCCTGCCAGACCAGATCCGGCGTTCTGAATCTTTACAACGCTCCGTGTACGCATGGACCAGATGCACGGTCAGGTCGCAAATCTCGGGTGTGCTGGGACTTAGGCTATCCCAGGGTCTCATCAGCAGGCTGGTGAGGACACATGGCCCCAGAGGCAGGACTTGGACCCCCCACCGCCACTTTCTCCTCCTGAGGGAAAGTGCCCAGGCTGTGGGTCAAGGGATGCACCTCTGCACCTGCTTCAGTGGCTGGGGCCTTGCCAGCCCGGGGAGTGGTGGCCAATACTCAGCACTGTGAGGTGAACGGACAGATGCAAGGACAGAGGGGGCAGGATGGGATGGTGACAGTGGGGAGGGAAGACGCCAGGGGCAGAGAGAGCTGCTCACCTTGTCAAAGTGGTTGAAGGACGCCCGGAACTCCTGCATCTGCTCCTGGCTGATGCCCTTGGCATCGCGGGTGAGGATCTGGTTCTCGACCTCATTGATGGTGCGGGCGATGGTGGTGAGCAGCTGCTCCCAGCCCACGCGGATATGCTGGGGGCGGAGCAAGGGCATGAGCACGGGCCGGGTCGGTGCAGGGACCCCCGATGCCGCTGCCACCAGGGACTTGGAGTCCGGCTCTCCTCGCCCCGGGTGGGCATATGGCCTGGAGGTGGGCTAGCCCTGACTCTCTCCCAAATGCCAACCCAGCCCCACGCTCTCCCGCGCGCCTCAGCCCCACACGGGGACAGAGGCACGGCCCCTCCCCACCGTCTCTGCCCAGCAGCGGGGTGACGTCACGTCTGTGTCTGCTAAGGGAAGCAGCTGAGGGCCGGCCCGGTCCATGTGCCGCACCCACGCGGAAACCGCAGAAATATGGGGGGCCATGTTTAACCAGCTCTCGGGGTGGGGGGGCACGACCCGGGTTTCTCTGTGGTATCACCGCACTTGCAGGGCATCAAGCGTCACCATGGACGAGGTCAGGCTGCCCAAAGGGTGACAACCAGCCCCGACACGTCAACCCGGCCACAGCAAGTGGGTGCCCGCGCTGATCTCTGTCCTCCGGCCAGGACGTCGCCACCGAGGCCACAGTGGGCAGGGGCCGCCCTCCCTCCCAGCTCTCCCACGAGTGTGTCCCAAGCCTGTGCTGTCTCGGTGATGGAAGAAATGGTGGGAAAACTGTGATGTTTTAAAAATGCGTACACACTTGATCTAGTCTTTTCGGTCAGAGGGACACAGAGGAGAGAGAAAGTGGCACACGCCTTTTCTACCAAGCAAAACCTGTTTGGCCTAGAGAGGCCGGGCCTGTGCTGCCACAGGGACCCTCTGGTGCAGGCAAGAGGGGAGGCTGGGGGCGCCAGGTGGCCCTACCTCCATGGTGTAGTTGGTGTGCTTGTTGTCGAAGATGAGGGCCTCCTGGATGAGCTGGTGCTGCTGCTCAAGCAGGTCGAGGTTCGGCTTATAGTCCACGATGCTGCGCTCGTACCGCTTCAGGTGGTTCAGCTGGTCCTCCAGGGTCCCGTTCATCTCGATGGAGATGCGCCCGATCTCCTGCATGGAAGACAGGGGCTGCTGGCTGGGGAAGGCCTCTTGCTGGTGTCCCCCGCCCCCCGCCCGGAAGCCTGCTGTTTGCGGACTGTCCCCTCCAGGTCCCCCTCCACTGAACAAGCTGCCGGGGGGGGGGTAGTGTCTAGGCTGAGGCCGGTGAGGCCTAACCTCAGTGCACACCCCGGACTCCCTGTGAGGCCCAGGACGGCCACAGGCCTGGAAACTGAGGCCCAAACACATCAATTCCTCACAGTGAGAGGCAGGGTCAGGCTCCAGACCCAGGCCTGGCTGGCTTCAGAATCTGTGCTCCTGAGCACGAGCACCCGAAGCGTGGGTTCCCAGGGTGACCGTGCAGTTCAGCCAGCCCAGAGCCCCAGCCCGGCCCCGGCTCGGTGCCTGGCACGTAGTGAGCACTCTGGGAGGTGCACCCAGGGCTGCAATCAGCATCCTTGCAAACTTTCCAGGGCTGGGTCCCCAGGCTCACTGGTGAGCCCGCTGGAAGGGCCTGCACTTGGGCCGCCCTGGTCCCAGCAACACCAGGGCTTGCCATGGGGCTGCCACAGAGCGGTGCCCAAAGCATTTGCCGGGACAATGAAAAGACTGTTTCCATCCTCTTTTAGGGATGAGAAAACCCAGGAGCAGAAGTTAAACTGTACCTGACCTCCTGGTCAGCGGGCAGGGCAGAGCCGAGACGCGAACCCTCTCCTACCTGACTCCTCCACCCTGCTACCCTCTGGAGGGCGCTGCCGCTTCCAGCAACACAGTCACAGACCCTCCCACTCCCAGGGGGCGGCCGTCGCTCCCGGAGTGGGGCCCCAGGCAGACCCAGCAGGGAGGACCGGGGACCCGGCGCAAGGGGCAGCCGGCCTCCCGCTCACGGCGGCTCCTTCTCCACTCTGCCCTAAGAGACTCTCCTGGGCGCGGCCAGGCTGGGCAACGGGCCCTCACCTCCATCTTCGTCTGGATCCAGGGCCCCACGATGTTGGCCTGGCTGGCGAACTGGCGGCGGAGGCGCTCGTTGGACTGCTGCTTGCTCTGCTCCTCCAGGAGTGCGTGGTCCCGCTTGGGCACCAGCTGCTGCACCTGGAGGGGCGGGGCGGGGGGGGCCGGGGAGCAACGGCGGTCGGGTGGTGGCCCCTTGCCCGGCCAGCCCAGCCCCGGCCCCGCCGCCAAGCCCACCCACCTTCTCCCACTTGGAGTTGATGATCTGCGGGGTGACCGTGGTGTAAGGGTTGCTGCCCGACAGTTTGATGTGGTTGCTCTCGGCGATCCTCTGGGCCTCCTTGTGGATGGCCAGGATGGCCTCGCGCTCCCTGTCGGCGTCCGGCAGCGTCGACTTGAACTGGTCGTGGGCTGAAATCAGGCCCTGGAAGGAGGAGGTGGCATGAAGGGCAGCCCAGGCCCACAGAGGTCCCACAGGCGGCGCGGGTGGGAGCGGACCTCGATCTCCTCGATGGTGTGGACGATGAACATGTCCTGGAGGTCCTCCATGGCGCTCTCCATCCAGTTGTTGAAGGGCGCCGCCCGCTTGGCATACTCCAGGTGCAGCTGGTCGATGGTCTCCAGCTGCTTCTCCGTTTTCTGGTGCGTGTGGGCAGGGACGGGACCGAGCGGGAAGGTCAGTCGGCAAGCAGGTGGTTGGCGGTCCGGGGCTGGGTCGGGGGAAGCCGGGGGCTCCTGGTGTCACCCACCCCCCACCGGCCCCCAGGGGCACAGGGCTCCGCGGGTGACGTCACCCCCCCCTCACCTCCAGAGCTTCCCTGCGACTCTGGGTCAGAGAGCCAAGGGCGTCCCACTGGTCGCAGATCTTCTGGCAGCGGGTGTTGACGTTGTGCGAGTCATAGTAGTCCAGCTCACTGCGGGCGGGGCACGTGGCGATGAGACCCGGCGGCGGGCGGGCAGGCTGGGTCCCCCTGGCCCCTGGTGCCAGGTCACCAGTCCTCCATCACTACCCCCCCAAACCCACGCCCTCCCCAAGGCAGGAGGAATGCAGACGGAGGGGTCACAGAGGGGCAGGGGGGGGGTCCGTGCTGACTAGCTGTGAGAATCGCTGTCACGACATGCGAACGCAGGGACCCCCCCAGTGCAGCCCCCAACCGTGCCTGTGTCTGGACTGCTTTTGTCACCCCAGGGTCCAGCAGAGCACGCTGGCTAAACAATGGGCTCCTGGGCCAAGTTCCCTCGGCCTGAATCCCGACTCTTTGATTCTGTACTCGTGTGACCCCAGCTGCGTGAATTCCCTGTTCTGGAGACCTCGGTTTTCCCCTCTGTGAAACAGGCGTGGGGTTATTCTGGAGATCCAGTTACCGAGTGCACGTGAAGTGCTGAGAGCAGTCCTGGGGCCTCAGTGCATAAATGCACCAACAGTGATTAAAAGGATTTATTTTAATAAACAAAGAAAAAATGAGTAGCGAACCCGCAATGTCATTCTAAGCAATTAATACTACATCTAAGAAAGAAGTGGGCTGATGCAGTGGTTCCTGGGCCCTCATGCCTCCCGCCCCTACTTTCCTCCCGCCTGGCCCAGGATTCCTTCCTCCTGGGCTCCAGACATTGGATTCTCTTAGCAGGAGGTTTCCAGGGAGTCGAGGTACAGGCGGAACCTTGGGGGCCTGGGGAGGGATGGGGAGCAGGGAACAAGTCTGGGAGGAACAGGACATGGGGGATGGGGCCGGGGACCATGGCTGGGCTCTACAGAGGGGCCGCGCAGCCTGAGCTGCATTCCTGGCTCAGCTGCCCCCCAGCGGGCAGTGTGACCGTGGGCAAGCCCCTCGGCCGCCCGGAGCCACAGTTCCCCTTCCTTAGCGTGGGGTTGCCGGGTGGTTAAAGGAGCCAGTATGTGCGCAGCACTGAGTGCTCTGAGTGCTTGTTGCTGCTCTTCACCAGCGCTCGGCCAGGCTCTCTCCTCAGGCTCATCCTGGCCAGCACCTGGCCCTCTGACTCATCTTTGGGGGAACAGAATGCACCCCCAAACCACCCTTCCTTCCTCCTGCAGTACCACTGTCCAGAAAAGCTGCCTCAGCAGCCACCTGCTCTCACCCGAGAGAGCGGGTGCCCCACGTCTGTTCCCGGTGCCTGGGCGGCAGGCTGGCCGAGGACCTACCCCAAGCCTGTCTCCTATCAGCGTCCAGGGGCTCGCCTGTCAGTGGCAGGCCATGCCCACATCCCACCTCCCACAGCCGCTCAGGGACACCTGCGCGTGTGACCTCACTCTGCTCCACCTGGGCGTGCCAGGCCCTGAGGCTCAAGCCTACAAGAGGATGCGAGACCCCAAGGGACAATGTCTTCCCATGACCGGGAGGTCCCCCGGGTAAGCAGTTGAGCACTTCGGCCTCTGGCTGAGCAAATGGAAACCCCCAAAGCGACTGGGCAGTGCAGAGGGAGGGAGTCAGGGAGGAGAACGGCCCTGCCTGGCGTGGGGCTCCACCAGGCACTGCAGCTGGGCCCCAGCCTTGTAGAAACAAGCAGAACTTTAGGGATGACTGGCAGGGTGGGGGGTGTCTGTGGAAAGGGCAGCTCCAGCCAAGTATCCTATTTTTGAGCAGACGGCTATTTTGGGAGCCATGCCGCCCCTCCAGGCCCTGTGGATTTTCCATGAAGTAATGGCCTAGGCCTCCCACTCCCTGGGCCCTCCCTGCTGCTGGCCACTGTGCTGGCGGAATAAGGCCCCATTCCCCGGCTCTGGAGGTTCGGTGTACTAACTGTGTGCGCGAGTTTATCTGACTGGGGCGGGAAAGGGAGGGCGAAGAAGCCGGCTGCCTGGAAGCTCGCACAATAAGTGTATTCTGAGCAAGCGAGGGAAGGGGCCCGGCGGAACAATGGGCTCTCTGTGCAGCCCAATCCCCTCAGGGAGGAGCGGGTGGGAGCAGCAGGGGCTAGGCCGCCCCCCACATCAGGGGGCCAGGGAGTCTCTCGTTGGTGTGGCAGGCAAAAGGTAGAGCCCCAGGGACCCCTACAGCCTAAGGCCATCAGGAAAGGGGTCAGAGACCTCCCTTCTGCCTGAGAAAAGAGGTCCCACTCCGTTTCTCATCTGGGGTTAAGACCAAGTGGGCAAGAGGGATCATCCTGTAAGGCCCCTCCCTGGCATCTGAAAGGAGACAGCGCGGGGGTGGGGGACGGAGAGGGCCGGGACACCCCCCACCCCTGGGCAGGGGCACCACGACCCCTCACGTACTTGAGCTCCTGAGCAATCGCGGCGATCTGCTCCACGCGGTCCTGGTGCGCGGCCAGGTCGCTCTCAAAGGCCTCGTGCTTGCGAATGAGGGCTTTGATATCCGACAGGGTGGCTGTCTCATAGTCCCGGTGCTTCAGCATGGCCTCCTTCCCTGGGGGTGGGCAGAGGGCAGGAGGTGTTTAGACAACAGCGCGATGGGAGTCCAGGGGGCTGTCCAACCCTAGAAAATGGGATTCAGACCCACATTCTGCCTCACCGAGGACGGTGCCATGGAGACTGGAAATTTCCAGAGCCCTTCTCCTTGCCTTTTCAAGGGATCTCTAAGCCCAACTATATCCTGGATGGAGCTAGGAGACACTGTGGGACTAGGGGGCCTGAGACCGATATCCCGATTCAACCTGTGTGTTCTAAACTTAGAGCCCTCTATCAGTGGACAGTAAGGACTGGAATGTGCCACCGCTGGAAAGGCGGACACCCATCCCCGGAGGGCCAGCATCTGGGGTTGCAGCCCATGCCTCGGCAGGGTGGGCGCAGGGGGAGAGTTCCAGTCAGAGTTTTCCACGGGCCCAACCCCTTGTGCCTGCCTCCCCGGCACTGGGGGGCCAGGCTCCCTCGGGGTGGGGTCCTGTCACACACCTCCGTGTCCTATGCCATCCTACAGGCCTACTATACGCACTGAGGTGGGGCCCACTGTCAGGTCCTTTGAAGGAGGAGAGGCACGCTATTATTAGTCCTGGAGCCTGGCTAATTATATACCCCAGGCCAGAAGCGCCAAGAAGACTTGTAACCATGGGGAGGTACTGCAGAGAACAGGGCGGGGAAAGGCCAGTCTGCGAAGGTGGCTGGGACCCCTGGCTCCTAAAGGTGCTCTGCTTCAGGTAAGCCATCTTGGGGGCTACCCCTGGGTGGCAGCTCAGAGACCCACTCCTCAGCTTGGCACCACAGCATGTGACCAACAGCTGCGGGCCTGGGGAGGCATGCGGCCTTTCCCCACCTGTTCCCTCATCTGTAAAGCGGGGCCGAGGCCAGCGCCTGGTCTCAAGTCTCAGGCAGGGCGGGCACGGAGCTAGTACCATGAGCATCTCAGCCACCCCGAGGACAGAGCCTGGCACAGGCGGGCAGGAGGCGGCAGCCTGGGAGAGAGGCTCCACAGGCCCACCGCCCCAGCCCTGGGGCAGGAGGCTTAACCACAAAGGCAAGCTTGCAATTCCCTTCACCAAATTGCTTTCTCCCAAGTGTGGGAACCCGAAATAGTAGGTTACCACTTCTCTGCCTCAGCAGAGTTCAGCAAGGGAGCTGGCAAGGGGGGCCCTGGGGAGAGTCAGGAGGAGATGCCCGTGGCCACAGATGCCTTGGATTCAGGCCAAGGGGCAGTCACAGTGGGGATGCAGAGGCTCATTTTCATTTTTCCTCCCTGACAATCCAAAACCCTCCACACAGCATCCACACGGACCCTCGCCCCTGCGAGCTGTGGGGGACGGTGAGGGAGGCTCGGAACGATGGTGGCTCAGCCCTCTCTCTGGGCCCACCCCCTCCAGAGAAAGGACGCTGCTAGCATGGGATCCCAGGAGTGTAGAGGGGCCAGGAGGTCAGTCTGTCCTTCTGTGTTGCATAATTGGGTGGTTCAGAGGACAGAAGCTTCAGATCTTGGGAACAAGAGTGGGCAAGCCTGCCTGGGGGCTCCAGGCTGACATGAAGGGTAGGGCCAGATGCCAAAGTGCCTGCAGGGCAGCAGGGGTGAGGCAGGGGCCTGTGGAGGCCGCTGAACCAGTTGGGCCCTGGCTACCCACTGAGCCAACTTCTCCTCAACGCCTGTGGGGGAAGGCCAGCCCCAGTCATTCCAAGGGGAAGAACTCGGTGGGACCATCACACCCACGCTCCTCAGCCTCAGGACACCATCCCCCGGGGCCCCCT